TAATCAATTAATTTAAAAATATCATTACATATATATATATTCCCACTGTTACCTAGCTGATCTCAGTTTTTTTTTTTCCTTATATGTTGGTAAATTGTGCATTTTTTGTCTTAGAAGTGATTGAATCATGTGGTTTTTATGTTTTGGTTAAGGTTGTTATGCCTTTAGTTAATGTGCATGCAATAGTTGTAGAATTATCAACAATTTAAAAATGGAGAATTAAGCCTAATGAGTTGCCATTTGCTTACATTTGAAACTCATTGGGATAGTGAATTAAGTCAGTCTTCTGCATCTTCAATGTCTTTTTGCCGAATGAGATCAAAAGTAAACTTTCAGTTTGTGCATCCGCTGGCCAAATTGCTTGTTTTTGCGTAGAAACTAATTTTAATTGCAGAAATTATTTTAAATGTTTTAACTGAACGTGGTGTTTTATGTTTTTCTGTATTTTACAATTTTCAATGAAGATGTTTTGAGTTTTTATGAATTTTTGCTTTGCCGCGAAGTGAGAATTAATTGAATGAGAAATGCCAAATGTGCGAAATATACATCATTCTATGAAAATAATGAATATTTTTGTTTAGACAGATCATGAATTAAAGGCATTTTTATTATTTAAATCAGTTGTATTCAAATGTAAGAACTTATTAAAATGTATTAAAACTTATTAAAATGTAAGAACTTATTAAAAGTTCTTAAATAAATTTAAGAACTTTTAAGTTGAATTCAGATGTAAGATATTCTTAAGAACTTCACCTATTGCTTTCAGATAACTTCGTTTGTTAATCCACAGCAGACAAACTCAGTTTGAAATATAAATATCTTAAATTTTGGCCGAATGGCATCAGTCTCGAACGAAAGGTGATATAATGAACGAAATGTGTTGAACTGAATTTTATGGTTAAATGCGAAGAACTTATTTAATAAATGAATGTAACACACAAAACATTAAAAAAAAGCCCTTTTCAACGCAATATAAAAACTGAAAACTTTCATGGTTTCTTTTTCTTTAAATTTAAAAACGCGAAGCCTAAATATTTGCATCATTTAAACGATTTCTGTAATTGGAAGTATAAGTCTACGACCAAACGGTCGCGAAATAAAATGCCGGGTAATAATTTCTGCAGACACGGCGTATAGAACAAAACAGCTTAAAACCATGATTCCAATGAGATTAAATTCTCTAAAAAAATTCATGTTTTCCAAGTGCTTATACTAATTTTCGGGGGGAGGGGAATGAAAGAAGTCTTAAGTAAATATCACGGTCATGACCAAGGTTAGTCGACAGACAGTGGTATAGCAACCTTGGTCATGATCATAAAATTGCTGTTTATTCTTTCTACCGATCCTCATAAAAAGAATGATGCGAATACATTAATATTAAATGGCCATTATTTAACGGTTTGCTCTTTTGTAATGTTTGTTTTAAGATTTGTATAATAGAATGTTTGCTGAACGAAAGTGCAGCTCTCACTGGCAAATTTGAGCAGAATCAGTATTTATTTACTTTCTAAACTGAATCTTCTCCACGTGGATTCATTACACAGAACACAGAAGGCTTAAAATTCTTCTTTTGTTACCAGCCGTTGCTAACAATCAAATCTCTTCTTTAAGAATATAATGATTAAAGAACTGGCAATTTGGCATATACAAATCGAATGAAAATTACATTCACGTCTCAGAATTTACAGTCTTTTCATTGAATTGAATATGCGTCGACTTTTTAAAGGGTCAAAAATGTGTAGCAATAATAATTTGAGCTTAAAAATAAAAAAACAAAAAGAAGCTTAACTAAAATCGGCATTAAGAGCTAACTTTAATGTTAAGCTGTTTCAAATAAAATCATTTGGCAATAGTCAGAAAAGGTATGCAAATGAAATGCGTTGACACTACATTTGCTTAAGTTAATTTTTAATGTCAGGTTTGGTCTCCCCCCCCCCATTTTTTGTTATTGTTGTTGAATACTATTGATTTTGTTGGCTAACAATTTGAGCTTAAGTTCGTACAGGAATGTCAAAGCGAATACTTAGAATACAATAGGCTATAAAAAAAATTACACATTCATTACGAATGTTTAATAAATATTTTAATGCCTAACATACAAAATTTGAAATCGCAAAACTGAATACAGATCCAAAATAGTTAGATAAGAAGCAAAATAAAAAGGGATTAATTTGTTAAACATTTCCGTGCAGAATTGTTCCTAATCAGAGGAGCACTGAGTTAATAATATTTATAGGATTAGATTATGTAGATTAAAGCTAAGCGCTTGAAGATAAGATTAAATTCTTTGATCATAACTTGGTTATTTGGTTATACAAGAGCTATCTAAGGGAAGAGATGCGTTCGTGGAGGCCTTTCTATGAAAAACTGGTTTGTATTCACATTGCACAGGGGAAAACCACGAAAGCTCCCAGACAGTCCCATTCACCGCGATTTGAACTTAGGTCGAACTACTACTTTTCAATGCTAATAAGATTTATGACTTTCTAAATGTACGAAAGCATTCCTCTTTTGTGGTAAAGAGTGCTTTTTACCCCCAAAAAAGTTTTTGCGCTTTCTAACTATTTTCTCAAATTGCAGTAATAGTAAGTTGCCAATCACTCTAAAAATTTAGACATTTTGGCGGGTTTTAATAATAGTTATTTGCAATCGTATAAAAAGCAACTAACTAACCTTTCACTATTACATATGTTTGCTCTTTAACTCCCTAAAAAGTTTTGCCGGAAACCAGCTTTTCAGAATTTCCTTTCAAATTCCTCCTTAGTGTGTTATTTACTGAAGAATAATTTAAATCATATCCATGATTCCATCAGTAAATATAGTATTTCCAACACCTTTTGCCGATACACACAGTCCAGTCACATTAATGCGATTACCTGTCAAAAGCCAGAATAACCACCTTCCGCAGCGTGGACCGCTGCGAGACGTGCAGGAAAAGAGTCACTAGAGGTTCTGTACTTTATCAAGGATATGTGGATTCCTGTGTCGCGGTCAGCTGCGCTAGGTTGAAGATCCATGGCACAAACAACCCCATCGAGATAATCCTACAAATTAATTACTAGGTTTAAGCACGGGAAATTCAGTGGCCAGAAAGGAATACGGTGTACTCAACTTCGTGCTCTTCGAACCACGCTGCAGTGCGAGCTGTATATCGCATTGTCTTGCTGGTAGAGGGTATCATTTTGAGGAAAAACTGCACTTAGGGGTGGACATGTCCGCAAGTACAAAGACGTACGTTCTTTTGTTCATCTATTACGATTTCTACAATGATGAGAAGGCCTAGGAAATTACAAGACAAAATATACCAAACCATAATGTTCCTTCCTCCAGCTTGGACATTTCAGGCAGTTGTTGCACGGTGTTTGTTTTTATACATTTCACGCCGTATGCGCCAACGTCCATCTGTCCGATGGCGAGTTAGATGGCCAGGAGATTAACTGGAATTCATCCTTACGCTCCTCGAACCACTACAACAAAATTCGACCTTGGGACATGGGGCGTTGTCCTGCTGGAAAATTCCATTTCCAGTTGGGAAGATAGATGCCATGTAAGGGTGCAAATGATCCGCAGTTATTCGCAGATAGTCCGCAACTTTCATGGTCTGTTCTACCACAAAAAAGAATCTCAAAGCCGCCTATGAGGACTTCCTCCAAAGCATAATACAGCCACCACCAGCCTGTGTATGACCTGCAGTACAGGAGGAGAAAAACTGTTCGCTGGAAGACGGCATACACTGACACGACCATCGACGTGATGAATGAGAAATTGTGAATCATAACCAGGTAACTGTCCTGCACTTAGCCACGGTCCAGTCTCAATGCTCCCGGGCCCGCAGCAGGCGTAGTTGACAATGACGCTTAGTAAAGAGAGGCATGTCAGTGGGGCGTCTGCTACGCAGTCCCATATCCAACAGTTTCCACTGAACTGTGTGTTCCGAAAGACCTTGCGTTGTATTGGGCTATCAATTGAGCCACTGTCTGGAGCTGATTTTGCTGTAGCAAGAGGGACAGTCGCCAACGTCCAACACCTTGGCATCTACTGCTGGTTTCACCGTCATTTATCCACTTTGCAAAAATACTAACAACAGATTGCAAACAACCTACCAGCCGTGCAGTTTTGGAGATACTCGTTCCGAGACTTCGGACAATTACAATCTGCCCTCTATCAATTTCGCTTAGACCTGCAGCCTATCCCATCACTCGCAGAAGTAAGTGCAAGAATAATTCCTTAAATTCTCCAAGCAGCAGTTAAATACTCTTCCCACATAATCACATACCCTACAAATAATTCAGACGAGTTCACTGTAAAATGTGAAGATGGTCATAAAGCTTTGGCTCAAGATCTCTTCCTTATAATTCGCAGCAGCCACGGAGCCTAACAGAGCAAGACATAAAGGTCAGTGAGCCTGTCAAGTTCTGAACTGAAGAACTGAAAAAAGTCGCCGAGTAATGCCAGTGTAAAAAAATGCGCTTTGAATGAGCCTAATATTCAGTCACAATTAAATATTCGGCCACGTACGAGTGTATTATTCGACATTATAGATTTGTATTCTTTGTTTGGAAGCATAATTGGTACCTTTCGTACAGTAGAAGAAAATTGTGAAATTAAGAAAATTTCTCTTGGAAGCATAATTGGTACCTTTCGTACAGTAGAAGAAAATTTCTCTTGGAAGCATAATTGGTACCTTTCGCACAGTAGAAGAAAATTGTGAAATTAAGAAAATTTCTCTTAATTTTTAACACCTGTGTGCTTTATATATCAGTAACAAGATGATTTCTATTTATTACATCATTTTGAGAAGTTCATCCAGGCTTTATTAAAAAAGGAATATAACAATTATGTGTAGAAATACCATATTAGTCTAGGGCTGGAGCTTTATAAGAAATCATTACGTGCCTGTAACTCTGCTGCTATTACATAAATGACCAATGATGAACCAATCTTTGTAATGAAGATACACTACAACTTTCTTTTAAAAATTCAAATAAAAACACATAGCATTTTTCTACGTAACATTTTATTTTTATACGCTATCAAAAATATATATACACTAAAAAACTGGTTTGGAACTTTGGTCAACACAAATAGAGCATAAATTAAAGAACAAATTACATCGGCACTTTTTATCGCAGTCTATAAAAAGTTGATACAATGATTAACGAGTAACAAAAATTATTAACAATTAGAATATGATAAGAATTATGTTTAACACCCTAACAACACACACAGCATACAGTGAAGTATTGAAAAGAATTTAATTTCAGTAAGCTTTCCAATACTTTTATAAGCTCAGATATTACACAAATTTTAGCAATTTACATTCATTAAAATCTCAAACTCAAATAAGATAGTTCTTAATGGTACATCAAGCCATTACAAACAGTCAGCATTCATAAAAATTTGCAGATTCCTCAAAGCATATTAACACTCTTGTAACTTACTCAGATAGCATTCAGTAAGCCACACTATACAAATACTCCTCTAAAAATCATACAATTGGGTAAAATATTCACTGGCAGAGAATACATACTGTATGTTTTCATTCTGCATATTGCTATTCCTCATAAATTTTCCATAAAAACTCCCTTTTTAAGTTAAATTAGTCCATTTAATGATTTCTCATACATGTTATATTAAGTTAAATAAACTGAATACTTTCTAAAGAAAATTTTAAAAAACTGTATTTTTACCCTTCTAGCACCAACAGCAGGACAAAAATGTCTTTACTGCAACTAAGATTTCCTAACATAATGGCATAGCCCTTAAATTTAGTAGCAAATATTTGATTGAGGATGCAAAATCCTGAGTTAAAGAGAGAATTAAATATTTCGTTTTAATAACTCCAAATTTGAATCTTTTCACCAAGGCACTTTGCTCTGTTCATGGGATGGAAAATACATGACCTATCAAGTTCACCCATTGTTATAATCTCATAATTCTTGGTGTTCATCAAATCACATCACTATCAAAATGGAGTAAAAAATATTTGAAATTTATTCAGATGGGTTTAAAGGAAAATTTTTGAAAAATGTACATAATTGAACAATTCGAAAAAAAAACATAAAAAGAAATTCATATTACATTAGTAAAGTATAGCACATATACTAATGTTCAGCAAGCACTGAACAGATTGTGCGTTGCAATAACAAGTAATATCTGCCTCAGTGTATGCACTCATTAAAAGTTTAAATAGATAATTTAGCCTCACTTTCTGTACAACGAAAGTTTTACTTTACAGCAATAGTTGGAAGCATTAGAATTTTAAAAATTACTAATTAATTTTTAGAATTTCAGAGAAGAAGAATGCAGTTTTACAATTCACATCTTCTAAGTGATATATTTACCAATAAAGCTTTCATACATTTTGAAACAACTTAAATTTTCCAGCATCTAAAATTTCTTGCTATATGAAAAAATTTACTTGATCCTATACTGAAGTTATATTGCACATTCCTCCAATATTCAAAATGAAATGATCATATAACATAAGTACTTATCTGTACAAAGTAAACGAGAAATTTTATTCACATATTTGTTCTTGCAACACATGTAATAAAGCTAAGTAGCCAATACATATTGCTTTGTTTAAAAGTTTACACACCACAATTTCTTATTTATATACTATTCAAAAGAGGTGCCACACATATTACAAATACCACCGGAAGTAAAACAGAACAATTTGGATTACATTTTCGTATGAAAATATTTTCATCTGTCAACTGTAATTTAATTCAGTGAAACAGTTTTTCTATAAAAATACATATTTCACAATACTTAGCAAAACAAAAAAGTCATTATTTAAAAAATGTTTTCAATGGTAAACACCAAAATAATATTTAAAATAATCAACAAAATAGGTATCTTCAGAAAATAACAAATATACACACACAGAATGAAAAATCAAACTTCAGATATTATATTACTTGGCTTCAAGAATAGTTAAAATGTATACCACTCACACATTTCAAAGTACATGCTTTAATTTTTATCTGCTATAAGTAAGATTGCAAATACAAGAAAAAATATGGAAAAAAATACACATATGGAAAAAAAATACACAATTAAATGCATCTGCAACATGATACACATTACAAAATTATACAATTATACTTCATTGAAACATGCGTCTATTTGTTGAAGGGAGAATTAAAAAACTGCATGACTGCTTCACACAAGAACATATTTGGAAATCTCTTACAGCAGCAATTACAAGTGCTTTGTCAATGCAAGTATTTTACAGAATATTTTTTTCATTCTTGAGTTACTCGCAGCAATCAATTCTATCATGAAATTATATTGGGCTATGATGACTCAATACTGAAGCTAGCAGTGCATTTGCAGTCTCAGAATAATTAAAAAATGGAATATTCTCATTAATGCTAGCTTGCCTCAAAAATAATATCCAATGTTGAGAGAAACCAAGTTAAGGTGTACAATGGGATAAGAAAACTGGCCTTTTATCTAAGCATAAAGAGTTGCATTATTTTTGCTCACAAACCAATTTGCCAAGTAAGCCAGTTGCATAGATTCTCTACCCAAATAAAAAGCACCAAATCCTAACCCAAATGGCCATTTTATGCACATGCTAACAACCATGACTTTATCAACCAACAATAATTTCATGATGAAACTGACATTTGTCTCTAAGCAACATATTTTATAATTTAACATGATGTAACATTAATCTAGCTTCTTTGATTTGCTAGGAGGAGTGATGTAAGTATTATAGAAGAAGCGAGCAAACAGTACAAAATATGAAAAATACATGAGCAGGGCATAATTGGCAATGTTATCTGGAAGCTGGCAAAATTCTCCATTTCGCCTAGTTAGGTAACCAAAATAACTGACAAAACAACCAGCGACCATCTGGAGGATCTGAGAAGTAGTAATTATGATAGCCACAAAACGAGGCATCTTGATCCGCATAGCCCTCATGGCATAATAGGTATACATCAATGAATGAGCAAAATAATTCATTACGACGAACCATCTGGCTGGGGCAATATGCTCTGTGTAACTATACCAGGTGAAAAGTAAGACTGTGATGTGATGATACCAGTGAAGAAATATGAGCTGCTGCTTGCGAAGCACGATGAAAATGGTATCTCCAAGCTCAGGAACTTTTGAAAGTGTAAACATCCATGTCCAAAAGCCACTCACTTTGACTTCTTCTATAAAGCTTGGGTTACAAACGGAATGCGTAAAACCAAATTCTTTGAGAACATGTGCCAACTCAGGAAGTGTCCTACATAGTCCAAAGATAGAAAATGCAGCCAGGAAGACATTCCAAGCTGCTAAGGTTCTTCTTAGCTCAAAACGAGGCCTGGACTGCATATAAGCCTGACCTCCAAAAATAACCAACATATAAAGCCCTATGTAATAAAATGCTTGATGCCAGTGCTGGATCATCCATTCTCTTTTTAGACTCTTGTCAAAATTTCGCTCGAAGTCGAATATGATGGAATAGTTTGGAGAGGAGGGTGATTCTCTTAGATCACTGATTAGGGATGGCATATTCATTTTGGATGGTTGGTCTCAGCTGCCAGAGGAAACTGCCAGAGGAAACTGCAAAAGTAATTTTCATTAAAATTTAAAAACTGTACTTCATGTAATAAATAATTAGCGAGCAAAAGATTATCTCAAAGAAAGATATACATTAAGAACATTTTTAAATCAAATACTTGATTAAGGGTGAATGGCAATTCTCAAACTTAATATCCAATCTTTTTGGTTAAAGTGCTCAAAAACAATAATATTTTGAGACCAAAGAAATGAAATATTCGTAACCGAAATTAATCCTGGAAAGTTTAATAGCACAGTATTAAAATTCACAATCACTCAAATACAGAAGTTTGTTAAAAATTCTTTTGTGTGTATGTGTGTGTGTTTTAAAAATAATTCAACAACACTGAAAAATCCACAAGGCGTTGTCACAACAATGAAATACTTTTTGAATATCAAAGGATCTTTTTATATCGCAGATTCCCGCATAGTAATCAAATGACAAAACCTGAGAATCAGGAACAGTAAAAATTCGCTACAAAAATCCAAGCATACGGTAAAATCGCGGCTTTCTGTAGCAAATATTTGTAAAACAGATTTACAAATTAAAAAATCAACCAAAATTTTAACTTGCTACCGACCGCGTTTTTGAGAACTCCGAAATTGAATTTGATTTAACTTTAAAGACGGTGCTACGTGACCTATAAAATCTGATTAAAAAAACAGGCATTTACTTATTTGGCGATTATTTTTCTAACTACTCTTAGTAGGAAGGATATCGTTCTCGATTTTTAATACTATCAAATATTTCGGTCATTTTTTGTCATACGAGAATCAAACTTTTTGTGTTTTATTCTGTGTTTTGTGTTTTATTATGTATAAAGTACAAATTTTTCCTAAACATAAGTATATGGGCCAGAGGAACATGTAAAATGTTAGATCTCGTATTTTATACAAAATTGATTTATTTTTAAATTTAAAAATACGAAAACATGAATCTTTGCGTCATTTAAACCTTTTTCGCAGTCGGAAACATATGTTTAGGGCGAACGGTTTCAAAAATAAAGGCCTTTTTAAAGGCCCGTTGTATAGTTTGTTGAGATGAAAGCCACGCCACACCCTTTTGAAACGCATAACTTCTTTTACCGAAATTCACAGCAACAATATGAATTCTGGGATACTAATTGGTTAACGAAGCCACTATACCAGCCTTTGGAGACATTTGAAATTTGAGCATTACAGACTGAGAAATTAATTCAGCTAATTTTGGGGACTAAACTCCGTGGCCGCTTTAACAAAGAAGTGCCAAATTCAGTACTTAAATAAAGTTCCAATTGGCAGGCAACCAATGCATCCATTATTTGAAAACATAGCTTATCTGAAGTTAGTTGATCTCAGTTTAATGATCCACAGTCCTTTTTTTCAATTAAATATAAGGTCGATTTACAGATTGTAATTGTGTCATGTGACCGTCAAGCATAAACGTTGATTCGCAATCTAACTAGACGGCAGCAACCCTAACAACAAATACAGCTCCATGAAAAGAATTGACCATTTTATTAAATCCAGAGTAAATATGAAAAATACAATACAAATTTTACCCAGATTAATTTCAGACTGCATAGCATGCACAAAACTGCCTATCATTCAGCATTGCCGAAAATATTTTCAACCGCCGACGCATGAATTCGATGAAACAGGAATCTAGATGGTGGCGTCGCAATGAGATTTATTTCACCATTTTGCACATGGCAACCCGTATTAGAATCAGTAACACCGTATTAGTGGTTGACTTGAACTGTTCATACCCGGTAATTGAAAATTTATTCACTCAGGGCAACTGAAAAACCTGTGAAACATTCCTAGATTGAAGAAAATTATTCTCGCTTATTCGTCTCAAATTTACGAATTTGATATAAAAAGGTTATTCCAAACAGAGGTACGGTACCCATTTCAAGACTAGCACCCTATTAATAGAAAAGTACCGGATACATGTTTATGGTTAACCTACAAGCGTTCGTATCCAGTAGCTGACAATTCATCCCTTAAAATTTCTGGATTGATCTTCATTCTTCTTGTTTATTCTCCACCACATCATTGCACACCTATTCATGACGCGTTGGTATACTGGCACAAATTTGGCGGGTGAAGTTTCATAAACATAAAAGTATCGCATTAAGTTTTCAAAAAAGGATAAAGCAAATGATATATAAACGTGAAGTTTTAAAAGACTGGCTGAAAATGGCAAAGCAACTACCAAGCACTACCGAATATTCACCAGTACTTGTCGTGCCGCATCTGACATTACGTATATCAATAAAAAGGGTGCCGGATTATATCGGGATTTTACTATAAATACAGAATGTTACATATGTTTAGAACGATTTCGATAAAGAACTTTTTTTAAAAAAGCAAATTTTTATGCTAAAAATTTCTGGCAACAGCTTATTATTTGAAATGAGAGCTATTGTCTGCTACTTTAATTTTTTCCCCAAAAAATGTCGCATGTAAACCAGCTGTGGAAAAAAGCCATCTTTTTCTGCCCCAATTCAAAAACGTTGGTGAAATGCATTGTGATACAATTTAAGTGCAAAATAAGCAACATTATTATTCAAAAAGGGAAAAACTATCAATCTAATTCTATATGGAAAGAAATCTTCAAACGAATACCCAAAAGGTACGCACTGCTTTAATGTTTCTAACCACAGTTCGTTGATAACAAGAGAAAATCCGTCAAAGCAGACATCAATTTAACGTCTTTAAATGCATTTGAAGCAGCAATAAATAAAATAAGAAACTGAAATTTATGCTAAAAAAAAAAAAGCTAAAAAGCTTAATGTTCCCCAGATTTTGCCAAAACATGTGTCCAGAATCCTAAATGAATTCTATTTAGCAGGAGATAAACGGAAATACATTGTGACCCTTGATGAAGTATAGATTGACCTAAATGACTGCAGCAAAAAAAAAAGGTCCATTTATTATCGAAAACGAAAAGAAAATAAGAAGAATGAGAAAAAAGGTGTTAAAATCAACTCCACGCACTATCAAAGGAAAGTTTTACAGAAAGTTTAGTTTACGTCCGATATTTGCAGAAGAAATTTCTCTTTTTTCCCCCAGTGACTTTCAAAAAGTGAAACTTCACCAAGGCAAAGCAACGCGTCTTACTTCAAAAAGTACCACTATATTCGTTGAAAAAATAAAGATTGATACAAGTATTGCATATACAGTCAAAAGTCGTTAATCCGGACTCGTCGGGACTTCGGCGATTCCGGATTATCGATTTTTCCGGATTATAGATCATCAGTTTAAATCTCGTAAGATGGCATGCAGAAATTCTAAAATTAAAAATATGAAACCGTAATTTATGAAATAAAGAACAATTATGATCTAAAGGGTATCAAAATTTGCAAAAAGAAAAAGCTTAATATTTATTTGTTTACTTTATTAAACATTTCTTTCAATGTAAGTTGTTTAAGTTTTGCTTCGTTTCATGTGATAATACTTTCTCTTTAATTCTATTAAACAGACATAATTTCTTGTTCAGTTACAAAGTTCCGCCGTTCAAGTCCTATAATTGCTGTGTCAAGAACACCGACTAATTTGTCAATCGAAATTTTTTTTTGTTTTCAATAACCTCTGTCACTTTTCTTCGCTATCGGAAGCGAATTATAATGACGAGGAACTTGTTTTAAATCATATCAAAGACGGAGCATATCGAGATGAAATACTACATTTGGTAAGGAATTATAAGCCAAATAAAATAAAAACATCTGCGCTGAAGATAAGGATAGTGCTGACAAATCAACTTCCAATTCATTACGCACCCGCCGTTGCCGTTGCATTCCCCCCGCCGAGCAGCGTGAAATTGATAAACAGATTTCGGATTTCAAAACATACTTTCGCTTTAGATCCTTTACATATTAACAAATATATATCGGAAATTCTATTTGATATAATCGAAAGTTTAAGCTTACCTTTATAAAATTGCTCTTACAGTCTGCAAAAAATAATAAGCCGGATGCAATTCGAAAATTAAGGAACAACGCAATCATCAACATTAACTGAAATAGATAATTAGATAATTTTAGCTTATACGTCCATTATACATAAAATGCGCACGCTAAAACGTATTCTGCACTTGCGCACACTCATATGCGCAGTCGTAAAAGGTCTTACGCGCACGCGTGAACGCCTCTGCGCATGTGTAAACGCGGCGCATGCGCAGAAAGTTTTTAGTTTTGATGTCCGGATTATAGATCATTCCGAATTATGGGTGTCCGAATTAACGACTTTTGACTGTATAATATACCTTTTCAACGCATTCCTGCAAAGTCTCCTGACGTTTCACCTATGAAATATTGTGCCTTTGGTTTCTTGAAAAGAGCTCTTTCTAAGCTCAAGCCCACCAACGATTAATGGGCTCTTGGGAAAAAAAAAAAAAAAAAAAAAAAGTCAATACCCCTGGAAATTTTAAGAAAAGCCCTTCTATCATGGAAATCACGATGCAGTCTTATAGTTCAGAACAAAGGCTACCAGATCGAACATTTAAAAGAGTACTTTTTATTTTTAAACATTAATTAAATGGCTCTGAAATCGTGTGTAAACATTCTATGTTTCTTTTGCGCATATTAACGGGTAATGATTTAAAAGAGCATTTTAAGAGGTGGAATAGTCTTCTATACCTACCAATATACATTCTATATATCATGGATTCTTAATTTTTTTTTTTTTTTTTTTTTTTTGTCTCATGCACCCTGTCACCATTACTAGACCATCATTCCCCCTTTCTTTCCAAAACTCGAAAAATAAATACACATTTAACTAAATTTAGATTATTTTTTAACGCATTTTATAAATTACACAAGGAAAAGTATAGAAAATGTCGAAAGTAGTTTATACTCATAAACTTTAATTAAATACCTGACAGTTTAAAAAGGCCGACCTCATTACCCCCCCCCAGCCCGAAACTATGAAGTTCTCCTCTGATTGAGCATCTCTGGTATAATCCACATATTGAGATCACTGCAATATTGTTATTGTTTCAAGCAGCTGAACACTTGCAA